GACAAAGGACGAATATCCAGAATCTACAATGAACTGAAACAAATCAGCAAGAAAAAATACAAACAATCCCATGAAAAAGTGGGCTAAGGACACGAGTAGACAATTCTCAAAAGAAGAAATACGAATGGCCAACAAACACATGAAAAAATGCTCAGCATCACTAATGATCAGGGAAATGCAAATTAAAATCACAATGTGATACCACCTTATTTCTGCAAGAATGGCCATAATCAAAAAATTTAAAACAAAACAATAGATGTTGGCATGGATGTGGTGATCAGGGAACACTTCTAAACTGCTACTGGGAATGTAAACTAGTACAGCTACTATGGAAAACAGTGTGAAGATTCCTTAAAGAACTAAAAGTAGAACTACCATTTGATTCAGCAATCCCAGTACTGGGTATCAACCCAGAGGAAAAGAAGTCATGACGTGAAAAAGATACTTGCACATGCATATTTATAGCAGCACAATTCGCAATTGCAAAATCGTGGAACCAACCCAAATGCCCATCAATCAAAGAGTGGATGAAGAAACCATGGTATATGTGTACAATGGAATACTACTCAACCATAAAAAGGAATGAATAAACAGCATTTGCAGCGACCTAGATGAGACTGGAGAGTATTAGTCTAAGTAGAGTAACTCGGGAATGGAAAACCAAACATTGTATGTTCTCACTGATGTGTGGGAGCTAAGCTATGAGGACACAAAGGCATAAGAGTGACACAATGAACTTTGGGGACTTGGGGGAATGGGAGGAGTGGGGAGAGGGATAAAAGACTACAAATAGGGTACAGTGTAGAGTGCTCAGGTGACGGGTACACCAAAATCTCACAAATCACCACTAAATAACTTACTCATGTAACCAGATACCACCTGTACCCCAATAACTTACGGAAAAAATATTCCAAGCCAAAGTCAGAGTGGGGCACTTAATCTCTCCAGCTGCATGCTTGACCCTTTTCCAAGTGTACTTTGCTTTTTTTCAATAAGCCTTTACCTCTGCCTTAGACCCACCTCTGCCTTCTCGGCTGAATTATTTCCTCTGAGAAAGCAAGGACCCAAATTGGTGCACATTGCTGCAGACTCGCTGCTGGTAATAGTCTTACAGTCTCAGGGGTGGCAGAGGCAGGACAAAATCCATGTATAAGTGAACCTGTACAGTTCAAACCTACATTCTTCAAGGGTCAACTGTACTTACATACTTGTGTTTCTAAACTTGAAGGTACCCATCTCATGTTTGTACAGTTAATGAATGTAAAATATTAAAAGGTTTATATATATGTTTATGAGTAAATAAATATATATAGCATCTTTATTAAAATATAAGTTACATACTGTCTGTCAAATATATATTCTGCAATAATGTTGTTCATCCCTACATCCCACAAAATATCATTCTGATTTATTACATTGATATGGTAGTTCTTACAGGATGTAATAATGAGGAAGAAGGAAGTATTCTTTTGGAGGCCTTAGACATATATGAATCAGATTGGTGATAAACCACCTCAGTAAAGGTTCTGGAGGTCCAGAGGTCATCATTGTACCAGTCCCTGGTAGATGACATATGGCTACACTTGGACATTAAGTGATTATGTGACTTATACTTCCCATTTGACTTAGATACGGTCATACTCTTCAAGCCAGGAAATTGAGATACAAGAACAGCATTCTGTCATCAAGTGAAAATGATATATAAGACATCACATTTAGCAGGTCCAGAGCCATACATGAGTTGCATCAGCTTATGGCTCAACACCTTCAACAACTGCTCCTACTGAATTGCCTTCTCTCCCTCCATGCACACCTGTGGCTACATGGAGATTTCCTTATAACCGAGGGATTGAAAATAAAAACTTTGGCTTGAAGCTTGAAGATGGTTTTTATATAATATGTTGGCAGTAATTAGAAGTGAAGATCTGCAGCTTTACACTTCCAGTTAGGTGTTTATGTTCAAGTATTAATATAGTTAGTATTATGGTTGTGGTCCTATAGGACATTGGTAAGGAGAAATTCTGTATCTGGGAAGAAATCAAGGCAGTGCATTTGGTTGCTACCCTGGTTTGGCTAGAAAGTAAGCATGGATCTATACTGATTCATGGACAGTTGATAATAGTTTGTTTAGATGGTCATGGCTTAGAACAAATAGAATTGGAAAATTGGTGACAAAGAAGCCAAGGAAAGCATTACGGTGACAGACCTCTCACACTGAGCACAGATTGTCAAATACGTGTCTCATTTGAATGCTTACCAAGGGCCGTCTACTGGAGAGAAAGCTTTATTAATAAGGTATATAAATCACAAGTCCTTTGCTTGTTAGCCTATTTTTTCAGCCACTCCAATGTTTACTCAATGGACCTCTATATAGGGAACACATGATCAGGGTCTGAGGCGATATACTGCAAAACCACAGGGAATTCCTCATGAGCATTATCTGGCTGTCAGTGCTGAAGAGCCTCTTTAATACTAAGCCACTGATATTACACAATATTCTGTGGGGATCTACTTGCCACTTAGAGGCAGGTTTATAGTATTAAATCCTTCTGTCATGGAATATGTACAATTTTTGCCTCATTGGAATAAACATGTATTCTGGATATGCATATTCTTCCTAACCATAATACTTGAGGTTGCATCACCATCTATGGATTTAAGACCATATCCACCATAATGGTATTCTGTACACAATTGCTGCTGTTCAAGAAATTTATCTTACAGCAACACAGATGAAGCAATAGGCTCATGACCATAGGATTCACTGGTCTTAACACATACATGATTACCCATGACCAGAAGGTGTAATAGAATAGTGGAATAGTACATACTGAAGACTCCTATATGGCTCTTATGGGAGACAAGGTCTTCATTCCCTGGATTTGGAATTGAAGATGTGACAGTAGGAGTAGCTTCTCTCGCTATTGTACCGACTTACTCACCCTCCAAAGTTTTGCTTTCCATTTCCACAGCTTTAAACCCTGTTGGGTTGCAGGTATTTGTTCCTAAGGAAGATATGTTTCCACCAGAGTAGAAAACAGTATTTTCATGAAATTGAAAATTAAGGCTGGCTTTGGCAATTTGAGTTAGTATTTGTAAAGATGATTCCCAAAGAAAGCAGAGGGAATTAATGTATACATAATTTGCTCAGATAGCATAGTAAAAAGTGTCTAAAATATTTGAGCTGAGAGCATTTACTACTGGGATTTTGTCATTATAAATTATATTACAAAGACAATATAAAGTGTATTTTTCATTCTTATATCCTTTCAGAATTTTCAAAAAATTTGTACGAATAGTACTTAACTATAAAATGTACCTTGTAAGGAAATATGGAGTTATAAAGATATTTGGCACTCTTGGTAGGAAAAAAGTTGCTTAAAATATAGACTGATGAAAATGCAATGATTGAGTGAATATCTACTTGGGTATGAATTGAGGCTCTAACTGCAACAGAGGTATACTTGACTGCTAGTGCTTTAATACTATCATTGTGCAGGCATGTACTTAGAAGGTATATCATTTGTTTATAATATACACTACTTGATCACAACTAGATTGCAAATTATGTTATTTACAATAATTAATTTTTTTGTTTTTTAATTCAATAGAAATGTTCCTTTTAAAATTCTTGATATGAGTTACTCTTTCACTTATTTTGTAAGAAATAAATTTTCGATTCCATTGTGCAGTGCCAAATGATAAATAAACACTTGTGGAAATCAACTTGATCTCTAAATACTTTAAGAAAAACAAGACTGTGTTACCTTGAAAAAATTTAATTCCTATTTCTGAGTCTTGTTTGCTTATTCACAATTTGAGGATAATACTAAAGGCGTTTAAGGTAATACCCATAACGTGATGGCATAGACTAGGCAGTCAAGGATAATTGCATTATTTTTGTTCTGCTAGTTGTTTTATTCCACTTCCATGTGAAAATAAATTAAAACTACAGATGCATCATTTTTATTTTAAGATTTTTATTGTTTATTCTTACAACTGAATTTCAATCCACTTAATTTATAATTCTGGAAAAACAAAAGCAATATTTATTATTTAAAACTTTTAGGATAATTTTTAAATACCAAAAAGGTTCTTTATATGTAAAATATAAATTTTATATTTATATTTACTGTAACAAATAAATGTCATAGATACTTTAATTAAAGTTGGCTTCTAATGATTTATTAAAATTTTTAAGTACCTATTATATATTAACCATTATACTATTACAGTTTCAATAATTACAGTTTCAATAAATAATGTAAGGCATGGTCCCTGCCTCATGGAGATTACATTTCAAGAGTTTTACAAAAGTGGTTAATAATTTAAAGCACAAATGTCAGTATTTGGGACTGAGATAACTAAGGGAAATATCAATAGAATTTATTTTATTTTCTTTTAAGACTGTTACTGAGTGAATAAAAACTTAAGCAGAGAGTAACCTCACTGATATTCCTTATGTATTCTACCACTTTCATTTTATTATCTCTATGGTTTTCTCCTACTTTTTACCATTAGTAGTTGGGTATGAAGCTAGATTAAGAAAAATTATAACAATATTTTGCTTTTTGACAAAAGGTAAGTAAAGTTTAGAATAAGGTATCAATGTTACAGAAACACTTTTGTTTTTGTAATTTTTTCCCAATGGGGTTAAGAGAAAATTCAGAAGAAAGTCATTAAGATGCAATCCATCAGAATGGATGTATGGCTTTGTGAAATAACTTAGAGCATTTTGCTTAATGTAGTTAAAGGCATAGGAAGATTGATTGGATAATTCCCCCATAACAAAAGATCTGTAGTGTCTGGGTTTTAGAAAAAGATTTCCTGGTGTTTGCTGGTTGATTAGGAAATATTGAAATTCTCCTAATTTTATTAACTCTATTCCTGTGTCTGAAGCCAGGACCAACATATAGATAAGCTAAATGCTCTGAATTCTCAACCTATTTTTCAATGACAATATAGTCAATTTGAAGTACTCCCATTGAGGCTTGTGGGCATTAAATATTTACCTTGGAATCTATGTAATAGCTTCTAAACCTCTTCATAGCATTTTTCATCTCTTTATTTCTCAGGGTATAAATGGCTGGATTTAGGAGAGGGGTAATAACAGAGTAGAACACAGCAAGAAATTTGTCCACCCAGGTGATGCTGAGTGGCCACACATAGATGAAGATGCAGGGCCCAAAGAAAAGCACCACCACTGTGATGTGGGCAGTGCAGGTAGAGAGTGCCTTAGAAGCCCCAGTTTTAGAGCCTCGATGGACAGTGAGAAGAATATATGAGTAGGAGGTCAGCAAGAGAATAAAGCAAGTCATGGCCAGAATTCCACTGTCACCATTCATTAACATTTCCAAGTTAGAGGAATCCACACAGGCTAGCTTGATTACCAGTGGTATATCACAGAAGAAGCTGTCTATTTCCCTGGGGCCACAGAATGGCAGCTGAACAATCACAACCATTTGACTCATGGCATGCACAAAGCCAATAGTCCAGGAAGTCAACACCAGTCCAATACATCTTTGTAGGCTCATAATGGTGGAGTAGTGGAGTGGTTTGCAGATTGCCACATAGCGATCATAGGCCATTATCACCAGTAGCGCCATCTCACCTCCTCCAACAAAATGCACAAAAATGATCTGGGACATGCAGCCTCCAAAGGAAATGGTCTTTTCCACCCTGAGAAAGTCTGTAATCATCTTAGGAGTGGTGATGGAGGAAAGCCACATATCAACAAAGGACAGGTTGGCCAATAAGAAGTACATTGGTGAATGGAGATGGGAATCACTGATGATTAAGATCATAATGACAATATTTCCAGATACAATGATCAGGTAAAGCATAAAAAATATTATTAAGAGTATAACCTGAATATTCCATGAATGGCAAAGTCCCAGAAGCACAAATTCTGAAATTACAGACTGATTTCTATTATCCAATTTATTCAGTGTGAACCTAGAGAGAACAAATGATCAGTCAGTGCGATGAAGGGTGCTTAGTTTTTAGAATTGGGTGCTCATATTAAAATTTAGATCTATATCTGATAGCAAAAAGTATAATTGTGAAGATAAATCCTGGCCTAATATACATAGTATTATCCCCAAAAGAGAAGCTCTCTACAATTGGCTAAGAGACAAAGTCTGAGATGAGATTGTTATGAAAATGATTTATTGAGTTTATTGAGAAGGTGGTTCTCACAAGAAGAAGATAAAGAAAGCAGGATAGCAAATTGAAAGGCTAAAAAGATTGTGGCATCCCCAGAAACTAGCGATTCCTCTAGTTCAGAAAGAAGAATCTAATGGGGCACCATCGCCAACCATTATACTAAGTAACTAAAACTTGGGTTATACACTTAGAAAGATGATGGTGAAGGGATGTTGGAATTCAGTACAAATTACATAATACAACATTACGGTTTCTCTATATCATTTATATAAGGCATCATAAAACTAATTTTTTAGCTTATCACTCTAAAATATATGTTGAGACAATCTCTTAGATAGAAGCTACATAGAAGGTCATATCTTGCATGATAATTTTTTTATTATACTTTAAGCTCTGGGATACATGTGCAGAACATGCAGGTTTGTTACATAGGTATACATGTGCCATGGTGGTTTGTTGCACCCATCAACTCGTCATCTACCTTAGGTATTCCTCCTAATGTTATCCCTCCCCTAGTGCCTAACCCCCTGACAGGTTCTGTTGTGTGATGTTCCCTTCCCTGTGTCCGTGTGTTCTCATTGTTCAACTCCCACTTATGAGTGAGAACATTGCATGATAATTTAAATACAAAACCAGGCACATAACTTATCATTAATTAAAACCTACAATTAAATAAAATTTACCTAGTAAACAAAATGGATTATGAAAAATCTGTGAAGAGTCATGTAAAAATGAGACTAACCATAATGGAAGGCCACTAGATTCATATTCTGAACTTAACTCTGAATGGAAGCTCCTTATAACTCTATGATCACCCAGTATGAACATCAAATTGAACAAATATCCACACATGAGAACATCTTTACTAGAGATAAACCAACCAGGTGAGATATCACAGTTTCTAGTTTTAGCTTCTTAACAAGAAAAGATGTATTAAAGAAGGTAGAAACAAGAATCTTGCATTGCCTACATTACCTCTCCTCCAACCTCAAGCAGTGCAGCATGGAAAGATAATCTGTCCATTTAGAAGAAGAAGCTGAAGTTTGCAGGGGATTTTGCCTTGGAACTCATTACCAGTGACACCACAGCAAAACAACAGCAGGCAGAACCCCACAGCCCCTACTTCTAGGCTGGTGCCCACAAGTCAGCTTAAATCTGCCTAGGCCAGACAGGAATCCACCACCATAGTGGAAGGAACACAAGTTTCAACCTAGCTTCACTGCTGAAGGACTAACATGGATTCATACCATGAGTAAATTTCAATGGCAGGCAGGTCCTTGTGACTGCAACCCTCGGACAAACCGCAATGATATGCTGCCCTGGAAAGCTGTGGGCATTAGGTGCAACTCAGTGAAACATCAGTTGTGGTAGTCATTGGATTGTCTGCATCCAGGCAGTGCAGTCAGGAAAGACTTCTTTTACTTTGGGGAATAAGAGGAAGTATGCAGAGGACTTTGCCTTGGAACTCAGCACCAGCTTCACCACAGTAAAACATATCACTGGGAAGAAATCTGTGACTCCTGATGGCAGGCTAGAACTTTCAGATAGAACTTTTAGACCCACCCTGGGCCAGAAAAAAAAAATCTTCAGCCCGGTTGGGATGGACCTAAGTACCAACCAGCTTCACCACCAGCCTGCAAAGTGGCCTCAGGCTCTGAATAAATATCAGGGGCAGTCAGGCAGCAATGGCTGCAGACCTCAGGTAAACTGCAGTACTGTTCTAGTCTGGAAGACTGTGGGATTCAGGTGTAACTTACCATGGTGCTAGCTGACTTGATAAGCAAACTAAAAAAAATGATGAGCTTGAAGACAGGCTATTTGAAAATACACAGTCAGAAAAGAAAAAAGAAAGAATGAAAACAATTAAAAAACACTTACAAAATCTATGATATAGCATCAAAAGAGCAAATATAAGAATAATTGGCCTTTAAGGGAGAGTAGAGAAAGAAAAGGTATAGGAGAATTATGCAAAGAAATAATATCAGAAAACTTTTCAAACCCAGAGAAAGATGTAAATATCCAAGTACAAGAATGTTTACGATTATCAAGAAGATCAATTGAATAAGACTCCCAGGGCATATAATAAATTCTCAAAGATCAATACAAAGAGAGGATTTTAAAAGCAACAAGAGAAAAGAAGCAAATAGCATATAAAGGAGTTTTGATGTGTCTGGCAGCAGAATTCTTAGCAGAAATCTTACAAGGCAGGAGGGAGTGAGATAACGTATTTATAATGCTGACAGAAAAAAAAAATCTGTCAGTCAGCTGAGAGTGCTGTACCCAGCAAAGCAATACTTCAAACATGATGGAGAGACATTTCTCAGACAAAAAACAGTTGAGGAACTTTTTTCAACACCAGACATGTCTTACAAGAAATTCTAAAGGGAGTTCTTCAATATGAAAGAAAAGAATGCTAGAGTTCATAAAAAATCTGAAGGTATAAAAGTAATAATAAAAATAAGTACAACGATAAATTTAGAGTACTCTGATATTGTAATTGTGTGTAAACCATTGATGTCCTTAGCATATAGGCTAAAAGACAAAACTATTAAAGTAACAGTAACTACAAAAATTTGTTAAGATATAGGTAACATAAAAAGATGTAACTTGAGGGCCCTTTCCAAGATGGCCAAATAGGAACAGCTGCAGTCTGTAGCTCCCAGTGTGATTGATGCAGAAGACGGGTGATTTCTGCATTTCCAACTGCAGTACCTGGTTCATCTCATTGGGACTGGTTGGACAGGGGGTGGTGCCCACGGAGGATGAGCCAAAGCAGGGCAGGGCATTGCCTCACCCAGAAAGCGCAAGGGGTGAGGGAATTTTCCTTTCCTAGCCAAGGGAAGCCGTGACAGACTGTACTGGGAAAATCAGTACACTCTCACCTTAATACTGCGCTTTTCCAATGGTCTTAGCAAATGGCACACTGGGAGATTATATCCCGCACCTGGCTTAGCGGGTCCCACGCCCATGGAGCCTTGCTCACTGCTAGGGCAGCAGTCTGAGATCGAACTGCTAGGCAGCAGCCTGGCTGGGAGAGGGGCGTCACCTTTGCTGAGGTTTGAGTAGGTAAACAATGCGGCCAGAAAGCTCAAACTGGGTGGAACCCACCGCAGCTCAAGGAAGCCTGCCTGCCACTGTAGACTCTACCACTGGGAGCAAGGCATAGCTGAACAAAAGGCAGCAGAAACTTCTGCAGACTTAAACATCCTTGTCTAACAGCTCTGAAGAGACCAGTGGTTCTCTCAGCACAGTGTTTGAGCTCTGAGAACAGACAGACTGCCTGTTCAAGTGGGTGCCTGACCCCTGTGTAGTCTAACTTGTCAGTCGGCTCCCAGTAGGGGCCGACTGACACCTCAGACAACTGAGTGCCCCTCTGAGACAAAGCTTCCAGAGGAAGGATCAGGCAGCAATATTTGCTGTTCTGCAGCTACTGCTGGTGATACCTAGGCAAACAGAGTCTGGAGTGGACCTCCAACAAACTCCAACAAACCTGCAGCTGAGGGTCCTGACTGTTAGAAGGAAAACTAACAAACAGAAAGGAATAGCATCAACATAAAAAAAAAAGGACATCCACACCAAAACCCCATCTGCAGGTCACCATTATCAAAGACCAAAGGTAGATAAAACCACAAAGATGGGGAGAAACCACAGCAGGAAAGCTGAAAATTCTAAAAACCAGAGTGACTCTTTTCCAAAGGATTGCAGCTCCTAACCAGCAACAGTACAAACCTGAATGGAGAATGACTTTGATGAGTTGACAGAAGTAGGCTTCAGAAGGTCAGTAATAACAAATATCTCCAAGTTAAAGGAGGACGTTTGAACCCACCACAAGAAAGCTAAAAACCTTGAAAAGAGATTAGAAAAATGGCTAACTAGAATAAACAGTGTAGAGAAGACCTTAAATTACCTGATGGAGCTGAAAACCATGGCATGGGAACTATATGATGCATGCAGAAACTTCAGTAGCCAATTCGATCAAGTTGAAGAAAGGGTATCAGTGATTGAAGATCAAATTAATGAAATGAAGTGAGAAGATAAGTTTAGAGAAAGAAGAGTAAACAGAAAGGAACAAAGGCTCTAAGAAATATGGGACTATGTGAAAAGACCAAATCAACGTCTGATTGCTGTACCTGAAAGTGATGGCGAGAATGGAACCAACCTGGAAAACACTGTTCAGGATATTATCCAGGAGAACTTCCCCAATGTAGCAAGGCAGGCCAGCGTTCAAATTCAGGAAATACAGAGAACAATACAAAGATACTCCTCGAGAAGAGCAACCCCAAGACACATAATTATCAGGTTCACCAAGGTTGAAATGAAGGAAAAAATATTAAGGGCAGTCAGAGAGAAAGGTTGGGTTACCCACAAAAGGAAACCCATCAGACTAATGGCAGATCTCTCGGCAGAAATTCTACAAGCCAGAAGAGAGTTGGGGCCAATATTCAACATTCTTGAAGAAAAGAGTTTTCAACCCTGAATTTCATATCCAGCCAAACTAAGCTTCATAAGTGAAGGAAAAATAAAATCCTTTATAGAGAAACAAATGCTGAGAGATTTTGTCAGCACCAGGCCTGCCTTACAAGAGCTCCTGAAGGAAGCACTAAACATGGAAAGGAACAACCAGTACCAGCCACTGCAAGAACATGCCAAATTGTAAAGACCATCAGTGCTAGAAAGAAACTGCATCAACTAACGGGCAAAGTAACCAGTTAACATCATAATGCCAGGATCAAATTCACACCTAACAATATTAACCTTAAATGTAAATGGGCTAAATACCCCAATTAAAA